GCATCTCGATGTCCAGTGAATGTATAAAGGTGCTTGCAGGTTGCAGCCTCCCAGATCACGATCAGTTTGTTCCTGTCTCCTGTGGCCTGCCAGAGAGAGGATACTCATCCCCATCCTCACCTTAGCTCAAAGCCAGCCTTCCTGGATAACAATGGTCACATGCCCCACACAGTCAGATATACAATTACACTCTTCAGCCACCCTCACTGCTTGATGGGTATAAAGACTATCAGTAAGAAGTTCAGAGAACAGAGCCCATGAGCAGGCAAGGTCCCAGCCAGCTTGGCTTCAACTCCAGCCAACTTGGGTTTAGTTCCCAGATTCCTTTCTTCCCTGGGAAAAGCAAAGAACTACTAGCTTCACTGTTCCTCATCTCAAGGTAGTCCTGTCAGTCTGGAGCTATTAGCAACAGAGAAGATGAAGGCTGGCAAGTTTCAGCTGCAGGTCACAGACAAGATCACTACAAAGTGGTCATGGCTACCACGAAGCTTCTGGGGCAGAGAGAAGAGATGGAGTCTGACAGGCATTGCTACCAGAACATGGGCAGTTATGCACAAGCCTTCCTAGGTACAACTAGTATGCGACTCATGTAGAATTTAGATGGAAACACTGCCCAGCTGGGTCTGCCAGAGCCAAACCTCTCTCCATGTTCTGCAGTGGAACAGGAATGGAGAGTGAGTGGCTGGGCTGGGGATAAGGAGGGGTCTAGAGTCTGTAAGAATAGCCATAGCAAGAGCCAGGAATTCATGGTGGCTGAAGCCTTGGATCCCAGCACAGCTGAAGACTATAATAAGCCCACTCAAAGCCAACCTGTAAGGGAGGACCAAGCCGTTTACAATTCTTCTTACCAGGTATTTGCCATCTGAGGAGATAGCCATGCAGAGAATGTGTGCCGTGTGGCCAACATGCCCTTCTGTGCCCTTCTTCGCTCCACGGATCATGTGCTCCTTCTTCCCGCTTTCCACATCCCCTGTGACACCAGATTCCACTAGTCACCACCATCTTGCCTTTGTAGGACTAGACTTTAGTGAGGTTACAGACTTAAATGGGCTGCTCTGTGCCAGAGACCCCAGGTACCACCTCTTGGAATACAGAAGGAGATAAAAGATCTTCATGCCCCAGTGGGTGGAGAAGCAAAGGATGAACTGATGAACCAGACAAGCCACTAGTCTCCAGCCACCACATTCCACAGAAACCCCTTCCCCAGGCTCCTTATGTTACACAGCTTGCCTCACTCCTGACAAAGCACCATAGGTCTCATCTGCTACAAGCCAGGGGCAGTTCTGAGGTTTGGGGTTAACAGGCTACTTGTTCCAAGTGAATTGTTGCACTAGCCCCAGTGTATACTTCTCTTCTCACTTTACCCTCTACACCTGTGGGCTATATCTGGCCTGCCAGACACCACCGGAAACCTGAGGGAGGACTGTGCCCTATACCGTTCCACTTTGCCATAGCCAGGGCTGTACCAGGCAGTGTAGACTCCTCTACCCCTGCTCTCCCCCCTCCACCTCCCCCTGCCCAGATTCATGTTGCTTCTGTGGCCATGCCTGCATAGCATGGGGCACAGTGAAGCATACCACATAGCTATTCCACCCACCCACCATGATGGGCCGCTGCAGCACCACTAGTCCATGCCATTCACAGGGGAAGCTCAGCCCTGGGTAGCTCTTTACTACCATTCTCTGGAAGTGCTGGGACACACTGCCTAAACTGGACCCTGCAGTGCCCTGGCTAAGAAGGGAGGCGGAGACTCACATTTGATGATGGAGCAGTCTTTGGCCGCTGAGAAGATATACTTATCATCCGGACTGATGACCAGGCAGGTGATGGGCAGCTGGTGCCCTCGTAGCACCCTGATTTCTGCTGGATCTGGAGGTTGCAGCTGTTCATACAAAGCATCCCATTAACAAGGGCCCAAACACATGCTGGCATGCTGTCCATTACTGGGGCCTCTCTTCCAGAAGAAAGCTTGTGGCGGTCCCCACTGAGCCCTTAGCAATACTGGTTCTACACCACCAGCTCTGACCTGGAATAAGCACCATGTTCAGTTTTATGCCAGTTAGATTTGCTAAGCCAAAGTGCTCTACTGGCTTTACCTCAGGAATACACTGCTTTACACCACAAATGATTCTGGCCCATTATTTTCTGCTGTGAACAGCACCATGCAAGGTCTATGGTTCTTCAAGCCATTTTATACACTGCACAGGGATCCCTATAGCTGGCAAACTGAATTATGCAAAGGCTCTCAGCCATAGTCTAGGCCTTCCCAGAACCAAGTAATAAGGCACTCTGTATAATTTTATAAGGCAAGGGAAAAAGTGAGTGCTGTGCCTGGTAAGGTGAGTGAACCGGATATATCAGTTTCCCTAAAAGGAAACAAAACCAAAAGCTGAATAGGATTGGAGAACCTTATCTAAAATGATGAGGTAAGGAATTTGAGGACTGGACAATTTAGGATGAGAAAGTTACAAAAGCAATGGACAAACAAAGGAGCAATGTGTATTCATGCTGCTACTCTAAGAAGATGGAGGGCAGCTGTGGAACTTCTGTTTGACTAGCAGGAAAGCCAGAAACAAATGTCCCATGCACCCAGAGGAGGACCTGAAGCCAGTGCCACCAAAGGTCGCTGCTGTAACTACTAAAGAAACCACTTGTCAGGTCATATTACAGGGAAGAAGCTTGTAATAGTGTGTAGGGGTTACTATTAAAGTTCACTTAATGCCAAAAATCAGACAAGGGGCTGTGTCAATCCTTGGCGGGCTCTGGCAAGAAGAATCCTATTAGTAACAGTCTCTGGACTTCCATTTGCTGTTGACTTCACTGGGAGCAGGAAGAGGACAGGACCACTGACCTTTTAAATACAGACACCCAACTGTAGAACCATAGGCCTTTTAAGTATTTAAGATACTTCTACCCCCTCCCCACATCAACATGGTGACCAAGCACAGCTGACATGAAGGCCAAACAGAGCTACGACCCTAACCTCACAGAAGAGGAACAGAAGCATGATACAGCTCAAGGGTCACTCAGGGAAGCTGAAGCTGAGCAAAGAAAATCTAAACCTCAGATCTGGACCATCTTCCCCATCTCTACCAACAAGATCCCCAGTTCCACTGAAGAGCACACTCATAGATGGCTGTAGATGGTGGGAAAACAACAGATCTCAAAAAACGGAGATGGTACCAGTCAGGAAGGGGAAACTCAGGCCAAGGCACAGGCAAACAGCTTTGCTCCCTCCCTGGCCCAGAAGGGCTAGAGGCCTCAGCTGAGGTCTCTGCAGTACAGCTTTCAGGGGGAAGCTTTGCAAACTTACATCTTTGGCGATCAGTCGCTGCAGTTTTCCCTTCTGTTCGAGCTGTTGAGGGGAGAACAAGTTAGATGCGAGCAGAAAAGGCACAGACCCTCAGCCCCTATGCTCCAGAGAGGGGTCTTTGCCATTATGAAGTGGGGAACAAGGACAGCTTAATTACCAAGATGACTGGAACCTTCAGATTGCTAAGGGTGGAAGTGAGATGCCCAACTGCCCCATGGATAGAGTGCTAATGGGCATGTCTTGTAAGGAACAAGTCCCAAGCTTATTAGCCCATGGGCTGCTAGGGCAAATGGCTTCTGGAGGGTACAGGCAGGAAACCTGACAATGGAGAAATCTGGGGGTGGATCTCACTTGGTCCTCATGTGCTTTAATTAGAAGAGAGCTGTTCCAGGGATTGAACAGCTCAGTTTAGCAGAGAAAATGACCCCAATGCACAAAATAGTTGTCTGCCTTAGCATCAGAGAGTGTATATCAATTTGAGAGAAGACTGAGACGCACTGCCCTGGAATCCCCTCTCCTTGCTGCAGCTACTTATCTCTGCTCTGGCCGGCTACAGAAGCTAGGGGCTCATACAGGGGTCAAATGCAGAGAATCTGCTCCCTCCCACATGTCGGACTCCTCAAGGCAGGCGCTGAGTAGGCTGTGGAGACTCCCAAGGAGTGCGTGAGGGGAAGCCAGCTTGTGCAAGTAGAGAACTCCTGCACCTACCAGCTTTCCTCCCCTATGCAGCTTACTCACCACATCTTCTTTCAGGCGGCCAGCCACCAATTCCTCCTTGAAAGCCTCCTCTTCAGCCTTTTCCTCCTCTGTCCAAGATATGCAGAGAGACAGACTTAAGGCACAGAGTAAGGGAGGTTGGGGGTAGCAAGACAATAAAACAAGGACTTCTGTACACTGATCCCTATTCACTGCATTCCTCATTAGGCAGTCAACTCCAGACTTAAGTCTCACCTTAAGTGGGGGCAAGGGATGGCAGCTTACACTTGCCATACATGAAAACACCCAATGCTCTGCCATTTTAAGCAGGTGAATTTTCATTAAAAAAAAACAACAAAAAAACAAAAAACCCAAAAAACACTCTAGCAGTTTTAAATGAAGCGCCTGCTAACAGAAGCTCCTGTTTTTATTTGGTAGCTTGCTATGGTCAAGAGACAATTTGTCTTGTCCATAGAGACAGAACTTGGGTGTCAAGCAGATGAAAGCCAAACCTTCATGCTCACTGCTTTTTCCTCTCCCAGAGTTGTCCCCATTTTAAGCCAGAGCTGAAATGCAGACATTGAGAAGCAGAGTGTCTTGTCCAAGATCTCACAGCAAATTAGTAGCAGACTTAAGGCCAGAATGTCTCTCTGCCCAGCATCTCCCCCACATTCTTATTAAGCATTTCAGAATAAGGTCCTTTTAGCAACAGTACATTCACACTCATTCAGCGCAAGCTATCTATGCTTACTCTTAAACTGTTTCAAAAAGCTGCACTGCCCCTATGTGAAGAGTTCTGAGCACACAGAGCTTCTCAGACATGCTGGACAAGTCTTGTACACCTGGCAAGTGCCGAGTTCAGGTCCTGGAACTGCACCCATTCTCTGCCTCCCCCAAAAGCCTCTAGAGAGTGACAACCTTGGATGCTTGGAAGCTGCTCTGCAATTTGTGAATAATGTATGCCAGCCCGGTTCCTACAGCTACACTGTGCGAACAGGACTTAAGACAACTACACAGTTTGGGAAAGCAGGCAGAAAGACAAGGAACAGCTAAACATACACCACTGCTCTGAAAACATGAGAGGTGTTAAGGGATAATACCCAGCCTATGCACTCAGTTTCCTACCGGTCTGTGGCTGACTAAGAGTCAGGGCAGGGAACAGAAGAAGAACTGGAGAGCTCCAAAGAAGGGCTGAGAGAAGTGCTTTACAAGGTAGGAATTGAGGCAACTGTTTGGGGGAACCAGGCTGAGACATGGAGCCCATTTTTTGTACCTGAAGAAGTGAGGCCTGCCTAAGCTACCACGAGGAAAGGCAAGCCAACATTATAGGAAGGGTTAAACTAATGAGATTTGGCCACCACCCACTATTTAAGATCTCCATTTGAAATGGCTGTAAGACTAGGAGAGTTAAGCCCCCATTTCCACCCAGAACAAAAGGCAGTTGAAAGGCCACTCAGGAAGTCTATAGCTCTAGGCAGAAGGATTTAGCAAGGTATAGTTTGAGAAAAAGCGTGAGGATGGGGGTGGAGAAGGACACAGCAAGAAAGACAGAAGCTTCACCCAAAGAGCACTGAATAACCCTGGGAGAAGCCTGCAGAGAGGTTTTTGAGGCCCATGTCCACACTACCAAAGGCTGCTCTTGCCACAGCATAAAAAGAGCTGGGCCCCATGGTATGGGGGCAGCTTTGCCAGAAGAAGGATCCTTTCCTGCCATCACGGATACCCCAATTCCCACCCCCCCCAACCCATTTTCTTCTGACAGCTGTGGCTGTGTAGAAGAGAGGGATAGGGAGAGGGCAGGGAGGAGTTGCTGGCAGAACCAAGTCAGCCATGATAAAGATTTTTTTGGACAGTACCAATGGCCGATTATTAGCCAGCCATATTGGCCGATACCAATCTGATAGCTGATACGCAGCTTGGAGAGCAGCATCCAGCGTACATCAGGGGAGGTGGGAGAAGGGGCATGGCAGGGGCAGATGGAGGCCCACCCACAGTGAGGGAAGGGAATGGGGCAGGGCACAGGTCAGAGCAATGGGTGGCTCGTGAGAGGGGCACAGGAGTGGGCGTCTCCCCACTGCTGCATGCACCCCTGGGGGAGCATGCCCCCCCCCCCCCCGATTTGGGCACAGGGCAAAGGCAGGGTGCCCACTGTGGGCTTGGGGCCAGAGGCTATACTGGCCTCTTCCCCATGGGGGAGGGGGGGCCAAGCAGTGGTGATGCTGGGATGGGGGGCTATGGTGAGTTTTGGGGTGGCTGTAGCCCAACCTGTAGCCCCCACTACCAGTGCCACCACTGCCTGCCCACACCACCCCAAACGCAGCCCTGGCCCAGCCCCCCCACTGGGAAGAGGCTCTTGCTGTGGGCACCCACCCCCGCCCTGTGCACAAATTGGGGGGGGGGTACATGTTCCCCATGACTCCACCAGGGGTGCGCACAGCAGCAGAGAGATGCCCCACCTCCTCACCCCGCAAACGAGCTGCCTGCAGCTCCTGTGCCAGCTGGGCAGCTCCTGCCCCACCATGGGGGCCAGGATCTGCACCCCCCTCCCATGCCCCTTCCCTCCTGCACAGACATATTGCCAGGAGGCTGCTCTCCAAGCTGCAAGGCTGTGTTCTTGGCCACGTGCATGCATTTACACAGCATTTATCGGCAACATTATCAGCTATACCGGCCAAAAAAAGCTGATTGCCAATAAACGTCAATTTTCTTTTTAATCAATGCCAATTCGATATGCCACCAATATACCGGTCCACCTTTATTACAGGGTATGAGTCTTGTGTGTCCCCAGCTGATAGAGCTCTGTGTAAACCTCTCCAATACAAACAGTTCCAAGCCCACCTCTGATGGTTTAAAACCTTCTGCTTAGTTGGATTTCTACATTCTTGCAAGGAAACCATGCCACCAAACCCTGGACTC